GAGGAGAAGCCAAGCAGGATTGCAAAAGCGATGGCAAAATCTGAGGAGGCTGGCAGCAAGACGCACACAAAAGGAAGGAAGGCAAAAGAATGCAAAGAGGTTGGAGAGGTGAAGGATGACAAGTCAAAAAGGAAAGTCCCAGAAGAAGAGGAGAAGCTAGAGACCGAGGCCAAAGGTAAAGATGCTGCGGCAAAGAAGCCGAGGACTGGCAAACCAGAGGCCACTCCTGAGAACAAGCAGAAGGAGCATCTAGAAGAGAGATCAAAGGAGAACCAGCCTCGAAAAGTCAAGCAGGCAAAGAGGGAGAAGAAGGAAGATAAGCAGGATCCTGAGGAAAAGCGAAAGGGTTCCGAAAGGGAACAACAAACGAATGTCAAAACTCATGAGGAGGATTCAGAGGAGGAGGAAGCACACAGTGGAGAGGAGGTGGCCAGAGAGAAGGAATGGTTGAAAAAGGATCAGCCCAAAAACAACGCGAAGGCAAAGAACAAGGAGAAAGAAGATGAGGAGGAGGCTGAGGAAAAGAACAATGTAGCAAAGGGTTCCAAAAGGAGCATCAAACAACAATCGAAGAATGATGATGCTGAGGAGGATGCACAGGAGGAGGAAGAAGAAGAACAGGAAGATGATGAAGCCAAAGCGGAGAAGGAGAAGAAGGCAAAGAATGCTAAAGTTGTAAAGCGGAAGACAACAGAGGCGGTGAAAGAGGACCAGACAGAGAAGGCCAAATTGGCAAAGAACAGGACTAAGGAGAGGAAGGGGGATGCGGAGGACAAGAATGAGACAGGCAAGGGGGATGAGGAGCACAAGAAGAATGACCAGGCAAAGGCACCACGTGCAAAGAAGCAGAAGAAGAGTAACGAGATGCCGGCAGAGGTTGAAGTGAAATCACTCTCAGCAGCTGCCAGAGCACTTGGGCGTCATGAAGTGCTCGCCAAGGCAAAGGCCACACCGAAAGGGAGAAGTTCCAATAGAAAAGCTGCTGAACATGAAGATGAAGATGAAGACTCAGAAAAGACATTGGTCCTTGGGCAGGCCAGATTGCATGAACACTTACTTGAAGGCTAATAGAAGTTCTTCCCACCCTGAGTCTCACACTTACTTCAAACCTTGATCCATAATCCCCAACGCCCATGCCTGCAGGTGCCACGAGAGTCAAAGAAGAAGCACAAGGCCATACACCTCAGATTGATACAACAACATCTAGACTGACAACCCAATTCAAAACTAATATTGATCGTTGTATTCAAAGAGAGTCAAAACAATGTCACAGCTTAGATTTATTTGCCATTGTTTGTTCTTTTGTCTTTTCCTGTTGTTCAGGCTGGTGTCATGGGAAGGGTTGGCCTTCGAGACACCTACCACAACCACATCAAGGACGCTTCCGAGCGTTTGAAGAAGGAACACCCGGACAAGACACCTAAAGAGATCTTGGCAATGGCACGCGCGGAGTCCATTACTTAGAACTTGCAAAGCTTATTCCACCTTCCTTCACCGCTCCAATTCTCCTTTCCTTGATTGTTTTCGATACGGCTAGGTGGCGAGCACACCCGGAGAGGGTCTCCTCCATCCAGAACATGTCCAACAGTGAGCGAAGCCGTCGTAGATTGAAAGTGAAGACATCCAACCCGCAGGCTCCGGAAGCTCCTTCCGGGGATGCTTCAGCCTCACGCAACACTGCCCCGGAGGAAGAAGCTCCTGTTGATTCTCCCGCGAGTCCTGCAAAGGAGAGCGATGCTGATGCTGCACGCTCCCCCTCGGACCCGGGCAATGAGAGTAGCTAGGGCACGACACGTGAAAGCAATGGGTGTTTTGGCTTTTGATCAGAACAAGCTCTCTTGGCAGCAAACTATTATTGAGTCACATTGAGATAAAGAAGGGTGTACAATTTCACCGATTTTACTTTGTTCTATTTTGTGTTTCGTTTGCCAGGAGATTCAATCGTTAGTGGGGCATGAATCGTACAGCGCTAAATCCTTAGATGGGCAGTGTTTCTTGACACTGCAGTGTGGAGGACGCCAGCCGTGATTCGATCTCAGGGAAGAAAACGCTTACCACCTTGTCAGGCCACCAAACAATTTGTTTTCTTAGTGTTAGTGCCCTTCCTGAGTTGCTTGGTCAGGTGGACAATTGGACTATACAATGGCGTGCTCCTGGCATTCTGATACATCTGAGGTCATCCTGGAGGTCACCGAAAACAAGACTGTCGCGGACACCGATCGGTCAACTTGGAGGAAGCTCTTGTGCAAGTTTGAGGATGAGGGACTCACAGATGTGTCCATCAACGGACATGTGCTAGAGACACACAAAGTTTCCACTACGGACTCTGCAGGTCACCTGTCTTCTCATTCATAATGTATCTTCTCGCTCTGTTTTCCGTGCCTTCTTATCATGAATCCTGTTACCAATAGAATGATCTAAGGTGAGCAGTGCTTCCATATTCACCCAAAGGCCAGTTTGTGGTACTTTGCTTGGAGTATGGCAAACATGACTGGATTGAAGTTCTCCTCTGTCGCAAGTGCTTTCCCGGCAAGTGTTCCTAATATGCAAAAAGGTTCTTTATTTCACCTGTCTCACTGACTACATATTTGCACCATGGTTATGCTACTAAGCTTCTATCCTTCCCAGGCTCTTGAATCCTCAAGAGTCCTCTCCCGCATTTGGCGGGTGGCTTATTTCAAGGAGGCGCAGGTGGCTAGCTTCAACATTGCGGATCTTTGGAGAGACCTCCCATTGATGTCCCAAAGATTGTTGCTTTTCTGCTTTTTGAACATTGACTGTAGAAACACAGTGCCCTCAGGAGATTAAGCCCCGTGCCATGATAGCACTTATTGAAGAAGCATGCTCAGAAAAGAAACAAGAAAACAACTCAGTACTGTGTCTGAAGATTTGATGAACCTTATCTCAGGCAAACCGCTCTATGTGATGAAAAACCAGACTAGCCTGAAAGAAGGCCAAGTGTTACGACTTGTCTGACATCGCAATGCGATGGCTTTGGCATCGCAGTTTTGCCGCTGAAAAAAGACTGAGCCAAATGCAGCTTGGGTAAGATGTATCATAGAATGGAGTTCTTGAGACCTCAACTGCAAATCTTTTGCAGATCCTGTGAGACCCCACAATATAACTAAGGAACCCAAATATAATGTTCTGGGACCCGAATACAAGGAAATCATCTTATATGCAGACGTCTGACGAGATATTCCCCCACCTCCCCCCCCCAAAAAAGGCAGGAACACCACCAAAAACCACCTCAGAGCACCGCCCGAACCTGCGCAACTCCCTCCAGTTTGGCCGTGCCATGGACGCGTCTGGTTGAGGCGAATCAGCTCTTGATGAAGTACGACGACAGTGGTGATGGATCGATCCAAATCAACGAGTGCCGTCCGTCGGGTTGGCGCGCGCGGCGCCGACGCGGGGTTTGGGACCCCCTCAGGGTGGAGGGTGGGGAGGGAAGAGAAACCCCGATGAGGGGCGGGTGGTTCATGGGGGCAAGCTCTATGTGGATATTTCGGGGAACCCTGGCATTGTTTGGTATTGGCATATATTGAATAATGCAAGAGATGCTTGTGTCCAGTTCATTTTGTGTGTTTGGTGCTTGTGGTGCCAACATGACCCAAGCAACCCTGCGTGCAACTCAAGTCTGACATGTTTGATGATGAGAAACTCTTATCAGTTTGACGAGGTTCCGAGTCTAGATCGAGTCATCATGGTGTCTCTTTGCTTTCGTGCGACTTGCGGCTCCATTCCCTTGCTGCCAGGTACGAGAACATGGTCACTGACCCCTCCGTACCAGGCCACGCCGGCTCGGCCGACGTGCCATCCACCTCTTCCTGCACCTGTTCACCACCTGGCCATGTTCCACCAACGGTTCACGGGAGAGGGGGGGATGATAGAGGCGCGCAGATCTGCACAGAGGGCCCAACGTACCGATCAAGCCAACCGCCGAACAGCACGAAGCACCACACCCGGGTCGTGCTGCACGACCGTCCCATGTCCAGTTCCTGGATCCCAGGCATGATGACTACGATCCTGAGGACCTACTCGAAGAAGCTGGCTTCCGTAGGCGGACCGCGTCGCCGCGGTTGGGTCGATCGTGAAGCACTCGCGTGAAGCCATGCCCCCAGAAAACAGGTACAAGACGACCCATGTTCCGAGGTACGCAGTGAGACATCCCTTTTTTTCTTCTTTGGGGGGATTCATGAAAAGCTGAAGGGCAGCACCGGAGGAGGGTCCCCTCTCCGCTCTGACCCAAGACGCACATGCCTCCACTTGCTTCGTCTGACAAACTTGGGAGGGGTTGAGGGGATGTGGTTCAACATGTTCCTCTTATTTTGCGTGTCATGGTTTTCAGTCTTCATCCCGCACACACACCCACCGAGCTAATTTAAAACGTCGGAAGGAGGTTCTCTTTTGAACCAACGGTTTTTTTCCTGTGTTGTCATGCGTGTTCCTGTGCTTTTTCCCATGAGACGTGTGCACCGGAACCAGAGACGAAGACGCGGCAGCGTGTCGTGTGGTCTTCATCCCAGCGTATACGTGAGCGGTGAGCTTGTCACGTTTCAGGCTCCGCGGTGAGGAACAGCCACATGCGCGCAGAGGTGTGGTGCTGGGGCGGTGGGATGACGAGCAGCCATCGTGGCGTGCTGGGAGGTATTTGGAAGAAGTGCTTGGAGGAATTCGGTGTATAGTTGTAAAAGCAAGTATTTTAAGTTGTACTTCTTTCATCTTCTTTCCCACAAGGGGTATAGATGGGGGTAGTGTATTTTTTTACTTTGGAGTGCTTAGGGGTGCATTATTTGTGATGATGGTGTTGGAACATCTGCAATATGAAGTTATAGACCGCATAAAGGGTCAAACATCGCTGTAGGTGGAAGCAGTTTGTTAGACAACGTCTTCTGAATAACAAGTATATACACTCGTCCCAATCTGTGGCCATTTGTATCCAGCTACATCCTACGTAGTGCTTTTCTGCTGGTTTCCAAGGCAGGCATTTTACTCCATTAATTTGTATACTATACTATACTATACTATACTATACTATACTATACTATTCTTCTTCTTCTTCTTCTTCCAGCTTGGACCACCACTGGCCTCCCATGGCCAGATCTCAAGAAATAATCTGCTTCTGCCAATGCTCTAACGAAATCGGCTCTTCCAAACCGGTCGTGAAAAGATAACGGGCAGTGCATGACTTTCCAGGTGGCGGAGAACGTGGTGGACTACCTGAACATTGTTTGTGGGAAGAATCTCACCAAGGCCTTTGGTTTTGAAAGAAACGCCTTTAGGCTGGGGGCCAGCTGGGCAGGCTGGACAGGTGGTGGCCTGAAGGTCCAGTTTGTTTAGTGGCATCATATGATATCCACAACGCTGCCATTGTGAATCCTCGATGTTCCTTGGCTTCGGGTGCGCGGTGCGGTACGAAGCCCAGAGCTGTCTAGGAGGGTGGCACTTGAGTCGCCTCCCTGTCCCTGTCCCACCAGCAATTCCCTGCAGAACTGCCAAGGGACAATGCCCCGGCAATGAACGTGTTCCTCTGCAAGGGGTCCCTATAATCTTCCGGAGACTCCATGTATGGAATTGCCTTCATGGACTCCTTTTCACTCCAATCATCTCCAATCTATGGCAAATCTGACATGGAGTGTCTGGCACCGACCGATCAGCTGGTCGTCCATGTCGATGCGATGCCGTGTTGCCCAGAGACCCAAACCGGTGCGACGCGGTGTGGCCCAGCGTCCCAAGTCTTGTGGCACGCACCCCCCGATTGGGGCCCCGGCGGAGCCTCCTGGTGCCAAATGTCAGCCGTACTTCCTGCCAGCTGTGCTGGCATCCTCTCGGAGTTTTCACATGTTTCAGGGCAATCCTTGGTCTTTCGCATGAGCTTTAAATCTCCATTTGTCCCTACTAGATCTCCAGTCGTACTTCCTCAGAAGGTGGAACTGGGGTGGCCGTGAGGGATCCAAACACCTTCTGGGCAAGTACTTGAAGCCCTACAGTAGGATGTGGAAGGTCCTCCTCACGACCCACACCAACAGGTCGAGTGGATCACCTCCAAGTTGGTCAACGGCCATTTGCCCATGGACCGCGCTTTTTTTTTCCGTTTCGCGACGCGCCCACGCCGCGTCGACGCGATGCGTTAATAGTGGAAGATATTTCTGTTTGATTCCACGTGATGATTCTTTTCCCATTTCATTTCGACATGTCCGGACCAGAAGTCCCACGCCCGGTACATTTGCTGTTATGCCAGTCGTGCACCGGAAGTCCGCCATTTCCAATGATGAAGCTTGGATGGTCAAGACCTGGAGTTGTCTGCATTTCCCTTAGAAGAACAATGCTTTTCAGCCTGAGAGAGCTGGAGGTGATAAAGGAGGTGATCAAGACCTGTAGGTCCTGAATTTCTGTCAAAAGAACCCTGCGGGCCAGGAGTTTACCGCGGACATCTTCTACCAGCTCTACATGAAGAAGATGGACCCCAACAACCTCTCCCCCGTGGATGTGGGTCGCTGGGCTGTGGAGAAAAGACACCTCTCGGCTTCCCCGGTCGGGTGCGCCGATGGCCGCAGAGGCCGCAGAGCTGGTTCATTGTATGATTCCAGTCCCCCATACATGCAAATCAGCCAATCTTGGGGAGTCTTCTTCGGCGCCAACCAGATGATCAACATGTTTCAGGGTCCTTTCATCTGAAGCGCTTTTAAGCATGACAAGATGCAACTGAGCTGCTGAAACAATCAAAATGGCATGAAGCATCATGAAACAAGCAAGATCTATCAACAGTCCCTTAAAGGTTAAGGTGTGTTTATTGTAACCACCTTGGCAGTCAGGGACGATGAAACTTCCATGGTGCAGTCGCAATCAGCACCACAGCTGGTGAACTTCCTTACAAGCTGGAGCAGCTATGGAGCTACCATGAGCTATACCTCAAACACCTCAAAACCCAGCAGCTGATTCAGCGAACCTGCATTGGCGATTTTGGGTGCGAATCGGGTTCCCCTATGGTTTTCCCTATGGTTCGGGAGGCCCAGCGAAGTAATCCTGGGGCTTTTTCACCAGAGAAAGGATGCATTCTGCGATTTCGCATCGCATCAGACAACATCGCATTCTGATGGGTCGGTTTTTCCCCACCATCTTCGCCCGACCGGTCCCGTTGGGCCTGGGAAATCCGACTATAGTCCACTTACAAAGACCACTTGGATAGTGAACCTATAGGTTGACCTACCTATAGGTTGACCTACCTCTGCAAGTCTACCTTGGTCAACCTACAGTGAACCTATAGGATATAGGCCACTTGCAAAGATCACCTTGGGCGCTTGGGACGAGCCTTCACTGTTTGGAGGTTCATTGGTGATCAACTACACCATGAAGGCCAATGCCAAGAACACCGTGGCTGCTGCAGCTCGGTCAGAACTCGTGTACGTGTCCGTCCTGGAGGGCAGAAGGAGCTGAAACCACCTGGATGAACACCCTTAATTGGATCTCAGAGTGAAAGTCGCTGAGCCAATCAATTGACAAGACAACATCCCAGCAGACCCTGTTAGCATGTTCGGTCATCCTTGGTCATCCTTGGTCCTCTCTTCACACCGCTGTTTTCGGCCCTTCCAAACACCCGACCCCAAAAATGACGCTGCAGTGATGCTGGAAACAGCCAGCGTGCGCCCTGTCAGGTGGATCAACTGGCGGACACCACCTTCTTCGCCAAGGAGGGCTTCGATATCACCATCGAGGACCTGATTTTGGTTGCGGATCAGGTGATTTTCCCTATAACTGGGTCAATCCCCTTGGTCCAGGAGAATACCAGGACCATCCGGCCACTGGGTCACCTGGCTGTGCTACCCTCCATTACTTTCCAGTACAGGCAGGACACCAAGATGGTCGGATGGTCCAGGTATAGTATGTTCTTCTATTTTGGCTTTCTTCCAAGGTGCCTGAAAAGTACTGGAGGGTAGGCAGTGCAGGCCAATTCCACCCTGTTCTGGTGTGTTCTTCGAATGGTTTTCCTTCCCAATGGGAGAACCTCCCCATCGAACGCGCCAAAGAGCTCCACGAGACGCAGGACGAGACCGTGGTCCAGGTGATCCAATGGGTCACCACCGCCAAAGGGGGCGAGGCGCGGCGTTTCAGGGCTCTTTCGGCTCTTTCGGGGCGGGTTCACGGCGACCGGGGCGGGGGGGATGTGGGAACTGGGTGGCTTCTTAAGGTTTGAAGAAGGGGTGGAGAATGGCCCTGAGGGGGAGAGGAGGAGAGGAGAGTTGAGAGGCAGGAGAGTGGAGAGAAGGAGGAAGAGGGGGAGGGAACCTGGTGTGGGTCAAGGAAGCATTTAAGATACAAACTGTCGTGCTGTTTCTGTGGTGTTCACTCGGAACTCGATATATGTCGAAGAGCCCCAAATCGGAGGCTTTCTGGGATTCCGATGAACCACTCCTTCGGAGGGAAGCCCCTTTCTGTGTTGCCTTGGTTCTCTTGGAATCGAAGATGGATTTCCCTCTTCCCCTTTTCTTGAGATCGATTCGATGCCGGGACATGGTGAACGAACCAATTTTATCGAAACCATCCAAACCATCCGTCCGCGTGGTTCGTGGTTGCTCCTCGCGTTACCGCCCGCGTGGTTGGCTCGCGTCGGCTCGCGCGCGTGGACGAGAGGCTGCCATGAAGGCGTTTGCCAAGATTCAGCCCAAGGGCAGCTCGGCTCTCTCGCGACGCTTCGCTGCGCACGGGTCGATGTGAGGGAGGCCACGCCTGGGCACCTGCTCTGCTGGTGGCGCCCAGGAGTGAAGATCACAATTGAACGAACCACCAGGGACCAGCGGGGTCAGCGTCTCGTTGGTTCTTTGAACAGGTTGTCCTCAAAAGGATTGATGGTACCGATATAATCCAGTGAGTGGAAGGGAACTTGCTAGGAGTTTCGAGGTTGCATCACCTGCGAGCCACTTTCTTGTGAGCTACCTGGTGCAACAGCACGACATAGTGGTGCAAGTCTCGGTGAGATATAACTAGAGGCCACGGTTGACGGAACATCCATCTACAAGGGCTATAGCGGCTAAGGGCAAGGCCTATAGAGAAAGGTTGTTACCATGGTAACTAGTGTAACATCCTCATAGGAAAATAGCTGCAATAGACACTTAACTGGATGTTGGTGTTCAAGCCTAGGGCCCAGGGCACCAGGGCCTATATAGGGTATTCCTATGACCATCCGCCACCAAACCACAAAGCCTCTGCCAGGCTCGGAGAGCTACGCGGACGCGTACAACACGGCGGTGGGATGGGACTCAACCGTCTTTTCTTTTTGGACAAAGGGATGGCACAGGCGATCCATGGTCTGTTGGCAAGAGTACCCGGATCATCTTTCACCTGGCGTCACCGGGATTACCTGACTAGCCTGCACATCCCTTGTCTAGACCTCCAGCCACAACACCCATGATGGATCGTCTTCCTGGTAGAACCTACAACGGGTTTTCAGAACCCGAGCCGTTCGACTCTCCCAGTTGAGTACCCGTTCGGCATGCCGGGTCCTTTTTCAGGTCCGACTTCTCTTAAACATCTCTGGAAGAGGACCATCTCCCGAAAGAGAGAAGTTGTTTAACCATCTGAAAGAGGACCTTCTCTTTTTTCAGAAGTTGGACCTCAGAACTTAGAACCATCTCTCTGCCCTCATTGTCGACCTTTGGGAGGGCCACTTCGTCTTTTGGGTGATCTCCGGTTTACTTGGTGAAGGTCCAATCGAAAGGCGATCTCCTGGCCAGGTGAAGCAGCTAGCAGCTAGTCCAACCAAATGTGTGGGTAATTGAGTATGAAGTCACTTGGCATTTGCGGACACAGTGTAGTTGGTTTGGGGGACACCATGCACTGCCTTTCATCACTTCAACACGGACCGCCACTTCCTCCGTGCCACGCGGGAGACTTCACTTCCGCATCCCGGAGGTGCTGAAGAGCGAGCAGCGCTACACCGCCCTGACGGGCAACACCGGTGGACAGAGCCAATACCACTCCGACGCGGCCCTGAACTTGAGGCGTTGGGTCCGTCGCTGGGTGGCGAAGAGGAAGACTCATGTTGCTTCCCTGCCAGCCATACGTGTGCCCCCTTTAAGCCTGGAATGGTTTGGACGTTTCTGTGGTAGGGACATGCTGCTGGGCGGCAGCAGCGCGACCAGCAGCTCTGGGGATCCAGATGCCTTGCAGGCGACTCTCAGGGGGTGGAAACGGGCGGAAGGCGGCTTCAGCACCCGGCAAAGGCGGCGATTCAGGACGTCGCGCCGGCGGAGTGGCGAGATCGGCGTCAAACCGGACTCGTGCGGGTCGGTCAACCCGACTCATGGCAATCTCCAGCAGTCTGAAGAATGACAGTCGACTGGATCCAAGCAGTGTTTGGGATGTTTGGGGAATCAGGAGAAATCGTTCTTTGATGGCATTCTCCATCGCTGATTTGACAAAGCATCTTGGGTTGACGCCCGAGTTTTTCCACCACACCCATACCGAGATCCAGTCCCAACCAGAAAAAACTGGTTGTTCCGGCCAAGTGAGGTCAAGTGCGAACTGGAGACACGAACCCATTTTTCCATGTTTCTTTCTGCCTGAACCCTCCAGTTCGTACTTTAGAACATGGGACATGACCCGAACTAAAAAAACTGGTACGACTGTACCCATTTTCTGAAGTACTTTGGAGGGTTCCAGGTGCTTCTTTTAAGAATCGGAACATCTGCTTCCGGATCCTCGCCAACCCACGGGCGCATGCGCGCGCAGGCCTCGTCCGGGGCTCAGCCGGCGAAGCCGCAGACCTTGCTCTTCGCGGAGGAGTTGGCCAACAACGTGAGCCGCACCGTGACGGACCCCGAGCTCCGTCCCGTCGCGATCGGAGAGCTCTTTCGATCGGAGGTCCGAGGTCGGTGGGGCGAGGTGTGGAGGTCCGGGAGCGGATCGATCTGTCCGACACGCCAGGGTTGAAGAGGGTGTGGAGGGTGAAAGGTGTGTGGAGTATAAGTGGACTGGAAGATTTGCTAAGTTCGAAGTTGCCAAAAAAGGTAGCAATTTTTACAATTCTTTTTGGGAGAACATTTCTCACAGCATTTCTGTACTTACTTCATCTCTATTCTTTTTAACTGAGCCCAATCCACGTTTCGGTCACCCAGTGCGCCAGCTGGGCCTGGGCCTTGGCGGCCGAGACCGGCCATGCGCAGGATTTCAACAACCAGTGCTATGCCTACTCGGGAACCAGCTCCAATCCCTTGGACGCTGGGTTCCGCAACCGAGAAAAAGACTCGAAGAATTGAGGCCCGAACCAGGAAGGTTCTATATTTTTTTTTGTGGGGTTGGACCCCTATTTATGGAGACGGTCTGTGCCATGGAGGGCATCTCAATGGACTTTCGCCTATGGATGTGCTTCTAAAGTGCAGATTTTAAGGCCCAGAAGCCTCTGTTTGACCATCAGAAGTACAAAGGTTGACCTGGCTACTTTGTGGTGTAAAATCCTTAGACCATGGTTGTTTGGTAAAGGCTATAACGAAGATCAGAATATAAACATGAAGGAGGCTCATGTTCCGAAAGGCAAGGCTTTGCAGCAGAACGCTACCCCACCCTTGTCCGAGTGGGCCTTCCAGGGGTCCCTGGAAAAGTTTCACCCTCTCGCTCAAGAGAGAGAGAGAGAGAGAGAGAGAGCACCTGAAATCAACAGCCCAACAGCCCTGTTTTTCAAGCACCCAGGATAGCGCCTGCAACAGCATCAATGGGATGATCAAGAAGACCCAGAGCTTCTTGACCCTTATGAACGATGTGGCTGGACCTGGAGGCAAGTGACAATGGTTTGATCGGTGACCGGTGTTTGCTTGGGAGTCTAGTGTTGGATTGGTTTGAGAATTGATGGATTTGGTCGTTGGTTTCGTTGTGTTTTTTCTTGAGCAGTGTCAAACATTGGCTAAGTGTAGTTCTTTGTGCTGTACGCGCACGTGAGATGTTGCATTTTGTTCCAGGGAACAAGCATGGCGGTGGCACACTTATCATTCCCGCTCCCTAGGTGGTAAACATTGAACAAACAGGGTATATCAAGACCTTCCAGCACCACCCAGTTCCGGTTTATAGACCCCCCCGTGATGCATTTTCCATCCAACCACCCGGCTCCTGGGTGGAGCAACGATCCTTTTGCTCAGCGATGCGAAAGACACCGGGCCCTTTCGGCAGTGCCGACCTCGGCGGCTTCGGCTCCAGGACAGGAATTCCTCCACAAGCAAGCCGACCAGTTCCTCAATGGTGACCGGCTCATCGCCTGCCTGCGGCTCTCATCGCCGCGGCGAGAGAAAACCGGTTTTTCTCGACTCGAGACTCGAGGATCAAGTTTGACACGTTTGAAGGGATTTGGTTACAGGTTCTCCAAGTTGGAGTGCATTGGACTCTGTTTGGGGGGGCCACCCCTTACAATGCCACGCTGCTGTGGTAGTGGTTCGTGATGAGCGCCTTCGGGATATAAAGAAGACGCATGACATGTGCGTGGTGTGTGGTTTCGGTGTGTTCGTTTCTGCCATTATGCACCATACTTTTTGCCCCACGTGTAGAAAGCATCTGCAGAAAGCATCGACAGAGACTGAGACAGCAGACCCAAAGACCCAAGCATTTGATCCCCATCTCTTTCTCACCCCCTCCCAAATCCTCCTTTCTTGTATCTTCCTTCCATGGTAGGAGGCCTACTATCCCTTTCACACCGTAGGCCTACTATCCCTGTTTGTGCGAAAAAACAACAACCCCCCTGCAGCACTGCAGCAGGTACTGTGCAGGACATCATGCTGATCTCCGACGCATTGGTGGCGAAGGGACTCAAAACCGCCCAGTGCGCGGCGGGACAGAAGGCCGCCTGCAACTACGCCTATCAGGACGGAGCTCCGGAGCGCGCCGAGAGCCGAGAGTCATCTCGGTGGGTTTGTGGCAGCGCCCAGGTTTGGCAAAAAGGATGGTGCGCCGTCACGATGTTCCAAGAGTTTCATTTCGGGAGACTGAAGGTTCTAGGGCCGCCCTTGGGTGCTGTCACATCTACAAACCGATGGGACTACAAAGCACTCCTTCTGTGACTCCTGGTACTCATTTGGAGGGCAGGAGTTGAGTTTGGCATCTCAGCAGGGGTGCACGTTGCCCTGCTCCGAACTCGGACTCCGGCACAGAGCTAAGAGATGATGGAACGGCACAGAGCATCACATAGCACTTCAGGTCCAGATGTTCTGAAGACCCCTATAGATGACTATCCCAGTTGGGTAGCCCAGGTGACCTGTATGGTTGCTACATACCTGGACCCGACGGACCGTTCGTACATGAGAAACTGGGACATGATCCGAAGTACGAATGGGTCGACTCCAGGTAGTTAGACGAAGACCCTCCAGGTCGAACGGGTCCTTTATCAGGTCTCTGGTCTCTCAATGCTGAGCTGATTGGACACCAACCGATGGTGGAGTCGTCTTCCGGATGTCCAGACCACCCACCCGGGAGACGCATCTGAGTTCTGGACGTTCGTAAGGAGAGTGCAAAGCACAGGAAAGCAGTTCAGTTCCACTGCTGATGGAAGAGTTTCTGCACCGCCTAGAAATCTACAACCCTTCAGTGCATCCAATATTGGACCATTTGCATCCGAGCAAGATGGTGGATGTGCATCGCTTCTTTCCGTCCACCAGGCATCCGTTCTGAAGCGGCGCGGCACATGGCGCTCCGGCCCGTGCCGCACATGGCGCGAACCAATGCGCTCGCACCGTGCCGCTCGAGTGGTGCGGGCAGGTGCCGGATGTGCCCATGCAGCTGAACGGAGCCATGACCTTTGTGACGAGCAACTTGAAGGACTTGCAGGGCATCCTCCCACAGGCGCGTCCAGCCGTCGATTCGCGGTCTGTGCGACAGCGCGGGGCGACAGCCGGCAAGGAGAGCAGAGGTGGCCCCTGAGTTGGGTCTCGTGTCTTTCTTTTGTTCGGAGGTCGTTGAGTTGAAGGGACGTCAAGTTGGCCTTCCTTTTCGATTTGCCAGTGGAGGTGTTCCAGATGTGGGCTCGGGGTTGTGCATCAAGAGTTGGCTCGTGTATAGGTGGTTCGGAAGGTTTGTGGACATTGAACAGGTTGATATACCAGGGCCCCGAAAGGGGTGTCCAATAATAGCCTAATTCTTAGGGGTATCCAGGGGTGTCCATTCTATTCGCAAACAAAGGTGTTTGCCTTTCTGCAAGTTGGGACCAACCTCGCCGGATTCCCTTCGTCCCATCCATCCGTCTGAGCTTCATGTCGGGGTGTCCTGTCTGGAGATCCCGGATGGTAGTGTAGGGGCTTCCAAGGTAACCCCGAACTGAAGGTGCTGGTAGGTCTATACATTGTACCCATTTTCTGAAGTAACGGGACTACCCTCCAGGTATCCCTACCCGCTCGGACGCTCGCGCTCTTCCTCCGGCTCGGCTCGGCTCGTACGCGTGTCCGGCTCACGCGGACCGCGTAACGAGCGGTGGCACCGAGCGAAGCGACCGCTGTAGGTGGTGAAGAATCTGAAAACGGCCAAGCTCCTGGGACCCGAGGTTGTGGGTCACAGAGGTTGGTTGAACAAAGGATAAACAAAAACCCCCCCTCCCCCACTTGGCCCGCCCTGGTATGAAGAGATGAAGACATTTTACAAGCCAACTATTGGATACGATTGGGGGAGTTTATAAATGGAGTGCCTATAGGACTGCTTTTGGCCTTGAGTTCCCAAATTGTTGGGAAGAAAGATGAGAGTGTCTCCTCAGGGTCTTCGTCCAACGTGGTTACCCTGCTCGCCCCGTTTTGAAGATCTTTTGACGTCATGCTTCTTGAAGGCGCACGACTTGCATGTGAAGGATTAGACACATCAAGCTAGGTTCCTATAGGGTCATTTCATCTCAGGTTCCTCAGCGTGGCTGGTTAGAGGACGACGCCTGTTTGGTCTTGCTGTCTATCCGGAACTTGTTTTCGCTTGGATCCTCCAACCGACTCATCCCGCCAATCGGCTTTCCAGAATCGGAGCCCACCATGCCGGTCGGTTGTCCGGGGGGGTAGTTGTTCTTGGGGAAGATCCATCCTCCAATGGCTTTGGGATGATTTTGGAGTCGATTTTGGTCCGAAGCGACACCACCATGGAAGCTCGAGCTACACCCGGTGTGCGAAGAGTTTCACACCGTCGCCCGGTCGGTATCGCTTCGGCCGGAACGCTCAGGAAGGAGGTGGGTATCGTCTCTGGCGTGATCGATTCCATGTCTCAGGCGAGACCGCGGAGCGCGTTGCGCTGGGCGGAGCGTGGCCATCCGAAGCCACGGTGTCGGACCGAGGACGAACCAGGGACATGAGGCGCCCAAAATGCTGAGAGTCCAGTCATGCCTGGCAGTGGTGGATGGATTGACTACTAGGTACTTGTACCTGGATTAAAAGGATGTAAAAAGGAGTCATTGGAAGTTCTGTGTAACCAGTACCCTTTCCCCTTCGATGTCGTTAACAACAGGGTTGTTGGGCCCACTAGGGCTGGTCAATTTGTGAATCTGTCGGAGGGTCCGGGACCTGTCAGAGAGTACATGGCTCATCTCAACTTTATTCAATGTTGGATTTTGGGGGTCGACGGGCCAGTGAGAAACATCAACAATCGCATGGCACATGCATTTTACTCTCCAGATTGTGTAGAACCCCCAGACACGACCTGTCTGGGACTGGCAAACTAAAGCCGCCCCAGACAGAGGTGGTTGATTGTGTAGTGGGCTAGGCCTGGATTCGATGCACGAAGGTGAGGTGTTTCATGTGTTCAACCTCGAGGCTACAAAAGCCATACGCCATCCGATTCATTTAAACAAGCGAAGGGGCAGAAACCATTTTGCCTTCCGATATAGCACATTTCGCAACTACATCACACAGAGCATTCCATAGCTGCCCTATACCAGCACCTTCAAAGCGGTCACCTGGCTGGAAGCCCCTACACTACCTAGCGATCTCCAGACAGGACACCCCTATGAAGCTCCTCGTCTCGCTTCGTTGCTCTTCGTCTCCTCGCAGATCTTGGGTTTAAAGACCCCGCCTTTGCTGCAGCAGATCGCCGGGATGTACAAGCGACCCGCCCAAAGCCGACGTTTTGTTGTTTGCTTCGTTTTAACTCGTGAAACCCTTTAAACACAGCAGAGGCTAAAGCTGCAGGCTATTGATGAGGTTCTACGACTTTTCCATAATCCACAACATAAATCAATGCCATAACTCGACTTCTCAATGGAGGGGGGAGGCTTTTTGACCGTTTTGGGCTGCTGAGGACGGTGTGGATCTTGTACTTTGTGTTTTTCTTCCTCTTCACTGGCTTCATGCCACTTGGATCGAATCGGCTTCCCGTTCCCAATTTCGTGGTCTGAGGACCGGTCTGCAGCATTTCCCAAAGATCACAGGAATGAGGACCAAAAAGGGAGGCCTTTATCAGAAAAGGCCCGGATTTCACTCACTCTCTCAACTCTTCACTGGATGGTACATCTTCCATTCACCACCCAAAAGCCCTCAACGGCACCGGGCCACACCCGATCCGGATCCGATCCGAATCGGATCGGCGGCCGAATGAGCGGAGGTTGTTCTACGCCTTTTGGGCCAACGGATGGTTTGGTGGACCTCAGGCGGGGTCTGGACCATCTCAGGCTGATGAATGAGGTCCAAGTGAGGTGATCATGACAGATGAGAAGACCTAGCATCCAGTCAGGTAACAAGAGCTCCTGCTACTTAAACTGTGTGACATTTTGAGGTCTTGTTACTGGTTAACTGTGGGTCATGATAAGAACTATTGAGGGCAAGAACCTTACAAAATGTTACGAGTATATAACAAGTCACAAGAACTGATCGCATCCAGCACCACGGAAAGGGTGTCCATTTTTTACGGGCCCCCTTTAGGTATACCAACATTTTTTGGGGGGGTCCAGGAAGTATATGGTATATAAGTATGGTAAGCATGCTTTGTGACTTTTCGTTTTGACGCGTACTCGACCTCGGAGTCACCCTCTTGGTCCCTTGGTCAAAGGGACCAAGAGGGGTTCAGATGAGTCTGAGTCATTCACTCTCAGTTCTTTTTATCCTTATTTTGATGGTGAGAATCCGTGAGACTCTTTGGTATTTTTCAATCAGACAGGAGATCACAGGCTCAGGTTGAGTGTGAGAGCTTCTCCGCAACACGCCGGCTTCACCAGTGTGGCTTCAGGATGCCCTGGTTTCAATGTGAAGCCCAGGTGCTCCAGTCGTGGAGCACCCAGCTTATACCCTAGACTTCCAAGACATCAAGACCATTAAAGGAAAGGGTGACCTGGTTTTGTAGTGTAAAAATCCTTAGTAAAAAACAATGGTAATTTGGCAAGAACCAATAATGGTGGTTTGAAGCCTAGGGTTATAGATTATGCTTGTTTCTTCCTTGTGAGCCAGCACTGAACCCTGAGAGCCCAGTCATAGCTCGCTGAAAAGACCCAGTGCCTGCTAGTGCTGGGTTCTGACGAAGACAGGGGGGGTACTCAGTTCATGTGTCAAAACAGGGAACATCTGGCTACTAATACCATCAACAAGGCATGTCTTCCTGCACCTTTTGACTGGCAAGATCATCTAAAAGGCTGTCATCATCTGGGAGTTCCAGGTTCCGGTCCCTTTTCTGGGCACCACCTGGTGGACAGACGTTCTTCTTTCCGCCGGTCACCACGGCCTGGCACCCCTCCGCCTCCTTTCGCGTCTCACTCCCAACTCGCGTCTGCACGGACGAGCCACAGGTGGAGCTGTCGACCGAGTCACCAGAACCACCACAGACCTTTATGGAGCGCTTGAGGACCTGCTGTAGCAGCTGCACCGTGCCTTGGTCGCCACGGAAGAGTCTTCCGTGTCGGGTTTCAGGTTTGAACGAACACGCCACGGTCGGACGAACGGAGGGGGGTTGGACGAGGGGACGAACGGAGGGGCAGACCTGACCACGCCACCTGCAGCGGAGAGAGACGTGGCGCCGCCGCGTCTCGACGCTGCGCCGCACGTGGCGAGTCGCGAGAGCGCGGATCGGGGTGGGGAATGGTGTCGGGGGCGCCGAGGCGTGCCTATCAGGATGCACCTCCGGGCACCTTTGCTTCTGGTCTCTTTTGCTGTTAGCGCAGGCGACCGTGGCGACCGTGGCGACTGAGCGAGCGCGGAGCCGGCGCGAGTTTCGGGAGGGGAGAAGCAGACGGAAGTTTCGGGCGCTTGAGTCTATCGTCAGTTGAGTCAAGTCTGGCAATTCGGTGCCTCCAAGTGAAACTGCAGTTGTCCGGCGATTTGGGGGGACCCTCATGGCACTCCGTGGCTCTTGCCAGATTCACTGATCTTGCTATCAGATTCATCAATATGTGGTACATGGGCGCTTTCAAATCGTTGGTGTAATTTTCACCATCCAAGCTATTTCTTGCCCATGTGTTCGGCTTGTTCTGTCATGTAATGTAAACTGGTCTTTTTCTTATGAATATTCCATCAACATGCATTTGTTCAACACTCTCCCATCAAGGCAGTGACACTTTACTGATTCAGAGTTAACATCCACAACAGTTTGCGCAGGGAATCAAGTTGTTGTCCGTGCATATCTTCCAAATTCATGACACACACACACACACCTTATTATAACCTTTATCAACAATTTTTGATCTGAACATTTAGAATGTTCTGTTTCTGGAAAATCTAGTATCCGTATTATCATAGAATTCGTTGCTTGATCATTGAATTGATGGCTTCTGGATGAAAACAGTGCTGTGCTCTTCTTGAGTAGTCAATGTCTTCCGCCTCGGGCCGAGCGCAAATCCAACTCCCTCGCCAGTTTTTGCGTTGCGCAGCTGGTTCTTGCTGCAGCTCAACAAAAAGTACAACGTCCAGCCGACACCTGGGGGGTGTTGATTGGACGTCCCAACTCAGCGGCGCAGGTCGTGATTCTGGTCCTGCCCGGCCCAAAGATGGGACGGATGGGATGACGTGAGGCCAGAGCCGACGAGGTGAAAACAGTTTGGGGGTCTCCATCCAATGATCTAGAGATCCATACCCCCCGGGCCATGAGGTGTCCAATTATAGCTCCCTAGAGGCGATTCGGGAATTCGGGATGTCCATGAACCACACCAAGCAGGGGGCCCTGGTATATGGCTCCAAGTGAGCTCCAAGTCAGCTGAAGGACATGACGTTTTTTGAATAAACGGAGGTGCTTTTTACAGCGCCTTGGAGACTTGCATACTATGAGACACTCTTGAGGAGAACTTGCAGACCCTCGCTATGTGTTTGTTTTGTCTCCGTCTCCGGCCTCTTTCTTTGCCTGTAGCTGGTATGAGAGGTGCCTTCGCAAGACACCACACTGCCCACCCGGACATTTTCTTCGGTCTTGAGGCATCACAGCTCATCAACAGCTCTCCTTCCTCGCTTTCTCCAGGTCTATTTGCCAGAACATGATGAACCCTGGGGGGCCCCTGCTTCGTCACCGGCTTACCGGTTTCGTCACTGCCTGAGGTTTGTAATCTCCTTGGTGGTGTGCCTCATCACAGGTCTCCAGGTGTGCCTCCCGGGCTCCCGTTTGACCAGCGCGCGGACGGAGACACGCGAAAAGCTCGGGATCTGGGGAGGATCTGCCTGCAGGCTCCAAAGCACCGTATAATACACCCCTAGCCTAATATAGAAAGAGATACTTGTTAATACATGTTAATACTTGTTCCATCTTGTTCTCATTTTCCATGGTGCTTCTGTCGACTCCTTTGAGACTGGCGCACTCAACGCCACTCAACGCCACTCCTTCGTTCCCCGACACGACAGCTCACACCGCCGGACGCGTCGCGACACGACAGCTCACGCCTACGCTACGCTACTCGTGAGGCGTTTTTGGGCGCTGGCTGCTCCAAGATCTACCTCCTCACCGATGCGGAGATCTGCACTGCGGCGCCCGGGCGGGTGATGAGGGGCGAACGTTCGCCACGTGGGGGCGAAGTTGGAGGGACCCGGCGGGTGTGGCGGGTGTGTCTGTGTGGAGGGTGGAGGGATGTGGAGGAATCGGGTGAATCGGGTGAAGTCAAGAAGTCGACGGTGAGCGGGACATCGAGTTTCCAAAATTCATCTGAGAGAGAGTGAGAGAGCTGGGAACCTCTCACGCATGCCTATCATACTTTGGGGACCTGGGGAGTTCGGAGTTCGGCCGAGTTCGTTCCTGGCTTGGGGGACTCGTTTGGTGGATGAAGGTATATTGAGAGAAGCTGCCATCTGGCTTGTGAAGGCAAGTCTTAGGCCCCCAATCAAACACCTTCAGCAAAAACCTTCAAACAACCTCAATAGGGCGCCCCTTCCTGGGTTTCCCCAGTCCCAACCAGAAGACACCATGGTTGTTCCGGTTTGCTATTGAGAACCTTCACGGCCTTCGGGGTGGGACTGGGACTGGGGAGTGCCATCCTTTGGGCACCGGATGCAGTTGATACCGACCACTACATGGTCCCATGGCTAGTGGACAGCCAGCGGATGCAGCGGAAAAAAAATCATGCAGCCGGCATGGAGATGGAAAGGCAGCCGCTGGTTTCTGGACACATGTCGCTCAGGTCTTGACGATTTTCCAGACCTTCCTGAAGACTTTTGGCCGCTGGGGCGATGTCCGATCGTCGTTTGCTCCGCCGGTGACCGTCATGTATTTGGGGAAGAAGAAACACATGAGCCACTCTACCAGGACCTTCCAAGGGGTGTCCAATGGACTACCCCACACTACCTAGGATGGCTTCCAAACAGGGCACCCCTTAGAGGGTCCTGGTATAAACTTCCCTGTTCATGTTTAGTGGTGTGCTTGTCATAGATGAATGTTCCGTGGAAGCAAAACACTGATGTGCGTAAGGTTGCGTAAGCAGTGGCGTAAGCAAATTCTTATGACAATAGGCAGATGTCACATGTTTTCAGAGCTGCTCACATGGCGCTGGGATGGAGGGATCATGTATTTGAATTGTATCATCGATTTCCTTTACACAAGAAGGTACAGTATAGCCAATGGTATACTCAGTCGATCCGTGGCTGGATCTATATATCCATGGGCTAATGGACACTCTCGATTCCTTGTCACATCTGATCGCAGATCACATTCTCGGTCATTCACCGCGGATGCTGGTGAGCCTCGATGTTTGTCTCTACCAGCACCTTCAGTTCGGGGTCACCTGGCTGGAAGCCCCACCCCACTACCATCCGGGATCTCCAGACAGGACACCCCGACATGAAGCTCCAGGTATACCTCCAAAAGAATGCTTCATGAGCTTCCCTTTTTGGGGCCAAGAACATCAGCTCCGAGTCTCTCCAGAGCGGAGCGGAGCGTCGCTCGGCTCCGAGTCTCAGCCGATGTGTCGTCTCCCTTCCTCACCTGGGCCGGTCGTTCGAAGCCTCGGCCTCCCCAAACCCTGCTCCTTCCACTGGCCCGCCGCCTCCGCCCCGCGCTTGGACGGGTCGAATCGCCTCGGGGCGAGCCAAGCGAACCCGAGGCTTCTTCGAGCCCATCACTGACAGCTGCCTCCACCGAGCCACTGGGATGGTGTTGTTTGTTCGTCTTTTCGTGGTTGAAACACGGAGAATGGTAGAAAGGATGAAGTTCCCTTCAGAGTTTCTGTCCTTTCTGCAGATTCATTTTGTGATGACAATGAATTTGAAACGATTAAATATAGATAGAGATAATAGAGCCTCCGCATCGCATTACCCAGACACTCCATGTGACCCTCGTATTTACCGCCCCCATTGGGGTGGTTGATTTCAGGGGTCTTTCTGGCGCGGCATATGTGCCATAATCCCTAGGTCCTTCAACCATTGGCTGACGTCAAATGGAAGATCCCATGGGTGAAGGGATTCTTCAACAAAAACCGTTTGATTGATGGGGCTCGGGAACCGTTGGCTATGAGTGACTTCAGGTGGAATGTCGGTGACAGTCTGTCTCCTTCCATGACCGCACGCCGCACGAGCGTAGACACGTCGCTGGTCGTGCCCCTGTCACGTCCACTCCTGGTCACCCATTGGAGCGCCTCAAGTCACTTGGGCCCGAGGAGTTACTCACATGCAAGCTCATCCGCGACGCGGTGGCGCACATGTCGGTGATGGCGTTGCTTGGCTGGAGATGGGTGGAGGGAAGGCGAGGGATGGCGGGTTAGTGTATTGGGATCACATGAAAGGTGTAACATGAATAGGAATCCTATAGGGAAGTCACGGGAAGTGGGTGCCGGATGAGTTGTTGCTGATGGGTGAGGCTGATGCGTGACAAACTCAGGTGTGAGGCATGTCCAATCATGTCCCTGATTTCTTTGCAAATTCAATCAAATTCATCCCTCTCATCTCTCAAGGCATTCAAAAAACACCGTCACTTTCATCCACTTTCAACACATGGCATGGCAGTTCGATCCCAAAAACAGGCCTCCCATCCCGTCCGCCGCACCGCGCCGCACGCCCGATGCGAGGATCGTGGGAGGGCTTCTGGCCTCGGCCGGGAGACCCAGCAACGGCCGGAGACGGTCGGAAGAGGTCGACCCACGACTCGGCCGCAGCGAGCCTCGGCTCGCGTGGTCTTTGATGTTGCAAATGGTCTTTTTTATGGAACAAAAGTGCATGAGAGTTCTGAGAGTTCTGAGAGATGATGCATGTTCGATTCGTGGTGGCGTTTTGCTTGCAGTGATGAGCCGCGGCTGGAAGAAGCAATGCAAATGAGTATCCGCAAACCTCCTGAACATCCTGAGCGGTTTTTTTTTCCTTCGGAGAGCTGGTCGGTCGTACCCGAACCTTCCAGAGGGGTTGAACTGGTGAGGTCGCTGATGTCTTGAGCTCCAAACATGGCCAAACCTTTTGTTCGGATTTATAATCGACTCGCCGACCTCCGACAGGTCACATGGGGCCTTTTTCCGTGCTGAGTGACAGTCCGTGCTCTGTGATTCCAAGGTCTTGTCCTTCCAAATGCTGATTGACTCGGCCATCAAGCACGAACGAGCTCGATGCTGGGCCGCAAGGAGTGTTTCCCATCCCGGGCCCAAGGAGATGCACTCCCAGTGTTGGACGTCGACCCTCGCAGGGCCAGAAACACCCCAAATCCATGTCGGATGAAACAGGGCCAAAGCGTACCCTGTGGAAAACTGGACCCTGAAAACCACGGGGAAACTGTGAGGAAAACCGTCTTGACCCCGGGTCCGAGTGAGTTTTTGGGAGTGTGTCCTCTTCGGTCGAAACACCAGCCAGGTCGACGTGACTGGTCGAAACTGAATGAACACCGAACAAATTCCGTGGTGAAACCAGGGCCCCTTCCTCCCGGAAGAATGGCACTTGGTGGTGTTCTTTTTCTAGAGATGGCGGCATTTTTGAGTTTGGTAGAACATGGAGCTATATCAAAGACGTCTTCAAAGGGGTTTATGCCATCTACCCTGAAACCACCCAGCACCATCCGTTCGGGGTGGTCCATACTACCCAGCCCACTGCTACTCAGACATCTCCAGCCAGGGCACTCAAACAGGATGGTGCTGGAATGTGGGTTTGTATAGAACACCCTGGCTGGGTGGACTGGTTCATTTTCCTTCTTCCAGGGCTGGGAGGATGGCTGGGGAGCTCTGCCGGCGTGGCGTTGCGACCTGTCTACCCAGCCAGGGCCAGGGGGCTCCTGATTAAAATGGGCTGCAGGATCCACCTCCCACCTCGCACCGCGGAACCTTTCCGAGGATGCGCCCGCATGATGGAGGCAGAAGGCTTGATGAAGAAGGACGAGCCACTTGGATGAGTTGGCAAGACAAAACCGACTATAGCAGTTTAACTGCCACAGCCATCCAGGTGTTTGCTGGTGTTTGGTGGTGTTTGGCGTCTCCATTTCATCTACTCTTTCCCAGTGCACATATTGGTCTGTTCTTTCCATCTGTTCTTCGCCGCCATTTCCCTGCGCATGGAACTGTTCCCTGCGCAGCAGCAGTTCGATATCAGTTCCAGTGAGATCAGTTGTGCTCCACTCGTCCCCGGCCTTGACTCCTCCAGCCATGGCCCCGAATGACATGCATCCGTCGGCACACCCAGAGGCGAGAGACACCTGGGTCGTGGGGCCAGTCGTGTGGCCACACCATGTGGTTGAATGCTTCTGAACGCAACGCCGGACTGAACTTGGATGAACAATTGGTTTTGTAGATTGCTCTGCATGTGGATTGCACGAGAATGAGAGTGCTGCCTTTCCGCTTTTTCAGGGATTTCACCTGGCGCACAAGCCAACGGGTGCTATCTCCAAGAACATTCCTCTCTCGGAGGCGGGATTGAGGTGTTATCTCCGTTTTACGAGATGGATAAGATCAGTAAGTTACAGTTGAGAAAATCATGACATGGAGAAGCGGAGTTATGAAAGTAAGGGCGTAGGAGAGGTGATGATTTGATCATAATCATCATCATCATCATCATCATCATCATCATCATCATCATCATCAT